AGGTCTCGTACGAAACGCTCGTTTTGGAGACTTGACGTGTGACTTTTGGAGGAGGTCTCGTACGAAACGCTCGTTTGGGAGACTTGACGCGTGACTTTTGGAGGAAGTCTCGCACGAAATGCTCGCATGACTGCTTCTAGTATTTTCTAGTGTGTGGGCAGAACGTGCGGCGAGAGGACGTTCGTTATGTCGCAGTGCCAGTGAGATTTGCGCGGCCTTGGTGGAGAGTGCGTTTGCGTGCGCCGTGCCACTGGGGAGCGCGAAGCAGGGTGGCGTAAACGCGGCATGTCGCTGGTGAGCAGGATGATTTGTGGTATCATGCGATATGTTTGCTTGTAGTGTATGGGCAGACCCTGTGGCGACACGACGTTCGTGATGTCGCAGTGCCATTGGGATTTGCGCGGCCTTGGTGGAGAGTGCGTTTGCGTGGCGCCGTGCCACTGGGGAGCGCGAAACAGGCTGGCGTAAACGCGGCGTGTCGCTGGTGAGCGGGGTGATATGTTTGCTTCAAGTGTGTATGTGTGTGGGCCGTGTGGCGACACGACGTTCGTGATGTTGCAGTGCCATTCTTAGATGGCCTGGTCGTTACTAGTGTGTTATGAGGGTCACAGGCATTAGCTAGTGCCACTATAAGGCTTTAAGGGTTAGCTAACGTCTCTAATGGTATACCCTTAAGACCAATTTTCAACAGGATTTTGTTGACATGTTTTCTGTAAAAATTGTCAGCATAATGTAAAAATGAGCGTATATAAACGATTTCAAATTGCTTGTTGTAAGAAATTGCACAAAAATCTGGGTGTGTTTTTCACTGAAAAATTCAAAACATCGCTTTTGAGCATGACTTTGCTGGCAAGTGAAATTGAGCCTTTCCTTGGCAATTGAAAACACATTGTCGTTGCCCGTTCAACATGAGCCTTCACTGGCCACTGAACATGTAACATCAAGCTGTGCAGGGGTGATTTGTTTCTACACCAACTTCAGGTGAAAGGGCAGAAGAGTCTTGATGCTTTCTTTCACCTTTGGTGTCCACCATTGCTGCCAAGACAGCCTCCAACTGCGTGAAGCACTGGTCCCTGTTGGTTCCCAATCTTCACTGCAAAGCTTCAGCAAAGAGACCCATGCATAAGCTTTGCCATTGACACTGAAGATCCCCAACACCTCTCCTGCTTCGAAGGATCTGCCACCATCCACAGCAAGCAACACAGTATCACCTGTAGAGACTTTGCCGTTGGAAAGCTTTGCAGAAGCACTTCAGGACCAAATTCATTTTGAAGAAATGCTGCAAAATCCTTTGGAGGATCCCTTGGTTGTAACACAACGTGACCAGACTGAAAGAGATCAGGTTCTCGAGTCTTGAACAGCTCCTCTGCCAATGTCTCTTCAAGTAATGACTTTTCAAAGACAGAGGTATTCATCAGGGGATTTGCAGCCTTCTTGACTGCCTTGTGTTTGCGCTCAGTGGACCAACAAGCTGGCGGGAAGCCATGGGTGGTCAACCCCTATAACAAATGGAGAAGCCAATGGTATTTCCTAGGCACCTTGGCCAGCCAGCCTGCTTTGCCATAGGCTTCAAGGCCATCCTCAACTGCTGACAGGGCCTGCCACACTTGACCCTGATGCAGCAGTTCCACCAAAAAGCATTGTGCAAAGCAAGCATCACAAACCTCATTGGCACAGCCAGAAGGCTTCACAACTTTCACAACCCAATAGACAGACAAAGGTGCAAGACCTCATTGCATTCGGCTCACGTCCCCCCAGCTCGCTGCCCCCAGTTTCCTTCTTCCAGTTTCCTTCTTCCAGTTCTCTTTATCCAGTTGCCTTCCCACAGTCCCTGCTTCCTTCCCACAATTCCCTTCCTCCAGTTCCCTTGCTCCAATTCCCTTCCCCCTAGTTCCTTTCCCACAGTTCCCTTCCTCCAGTTTCGGCGTCCCGTGGGTCCCGCCTGTTGGGCTTGTGTAAAGGACCGTTCTCCCACTTCGCCCTTCCCACAGTTCCTTTCCTCCAGTTCCCTTCCTACAGTTCCCTTCCCACAGTTCCCTTCCACCAGTTCCCTTCCTGGTTGCCTCCAGTTCCCTTCCCACAGTTCCCTTCCGCCAGTTCCCTTCCTGGTTGCCTCCAGTTCCCTTCCCACAGTTCCCTTCCTCCAGTTCCCTTCCCACAGTTCCTTGCCTCCAGTTCCCTTCCCACAGTCCCCTTCCACCAGTTCCTACAGTTCCCGCCCTCCAGTGCCCTACCCGCACTTCCCATCCTCCAGTTCCTTTCCCACAGTTCCCTTCCACCAGTTCCTTTCCCACAGTTTCCTGCCTCCAGTTCCCTTCTTCCAGTGCAGCATCAAATTGAGGTGGTGCCGTTTCAAGTCAAAATCTGAAATTAATATTGGTGGATGTCCCTTTTCAATTCAGGACCTAGGTGATTTTTTCTTACAATGGTGCCTGTTTGTTTGCGAGCTGCTGTGCTTTACGGTGATTCAACATGCAATGTTGTTTGCAATGCAAGTTTGCTGCTCAAGCTGGCCACCTTGTTGGCAAAGGGCAGCCACTTAGAGATGGATGCTGGTTCATCAGAGAAAAGGCAAAGGCTTGAAAGCCTAAGAAGGAAGCCAGTCCCAACCATGCTGTAGCAGGTCATTGAAAACCTCATCTCCATGCTTGGCCATGATACTGTCCAAAGTGAGGGGTTCATTGTCTTCTGTAAGGCAATCACCACATTGCACAGTCCAGTGGCTACAAGAGACAGTCTCTGTGACAGGGGCAAGCTTCTTGCTGGATGAAGCCACCAGGTCAGCATTGGCAGTATACTGTTTCCTCTTGGTGTTTGGACATGATGAAACTTCAAAGGCGATTGCACTTGCCAGCTTGCTTGCATCACATCTAATGGACAGGACTCTTTGTCCTTTGAAATGAGCACCATGTGCATTCACCATGGAGCCCGGCCTATTGCATGGATGAACCAACACTTGGTCACAAGTCCACTTTTGCTTGTAGATTCTTCCATCCTTTGCCAAAACGGCCATCGTTTGCTGTGCTTTCATTGAAGGCTCCATGGCTGCAGTGGCAGTGTCAAGACAAGGTAACAGTGCACATGCTTTCTTGCTGTTGGCTGTGTTTGTGTTGTGTGCATGTAGCCACATTCAAAGCCTTCTTTCTCATGTCCTTCAGCCCTTGCACCTTTGGGCTTGATGCCAAAGGGCTTGATGCCAAACTTGCATTCTTGGGAATGCTGTTGGTTGAACATGCATACTCAACCCTTCCAACAACTGTTAATAAGAAGCTTGGATTTGGCTAATGAAAAATGTGTTGACCTTGATGAAAGGAGCCTGCAAAGGTAATGAGCCTGCAAGGGGAAAAGTATAATGAGCTTGCAAGAGCAAAAGCAATGAGCTGCAAGGGCAAAAGTAATGAGCCTGCAGGGGCAAAGGCAATGAGCTTGCAAGGTCCAAAGCCATATGAGCCTGTACAGGTGGCCAAAGAAATGAGCTTGTACGGGCACTTGCAAACATGAACAGGCAAACTTTTTCCTCCACTCCCAAATCAATCAAACTTCACTCTTCTCATCATCACTGGGCCTCCTGTACTTTCTCTTCTTGCAGGCTGTCTCTAGCATACTGCACTTCTTGCAAGAACTCAAAGACAGCCGCCAACTGAGTAGGATCCAGGGCCACAACCAAGTCTGCCGATGCCAACCTCTTCAAAGGGCAGTAGATGTCCACTTGTGTTCCATTGACACCCACTGTCACCACCTGTGGACTGGTCCTCTTCTGTCTCTTTGGCTGGTCCTTCTCCTCTTCAAAGACCTCTTGAGCTTCAGCTCTCGCACCTTTAGGCTTGATGCCAAGCTTGCATTCTTGGGAATGCTAGAGGTGCAGCTTGAGCACAGCAAGGTCAAAAGAGCCTGTGAAGTCCACTGAAGCTTCAGCCACTCCCTGCCACAATGGTTCCCC